TACAAACCAAGTTACCAAAGTACATATTCTAAGAGAGAATTTTATCACTAGAGCCATTAAACAGCATGTTTGTTAATGGTATTTCTTGCTAAATTTTCATCTTTAGTTTCTAATCTAAGTTACACAGCTGCCTCCTTTGAAAACAACATTATTACTGTGGCCCTTTTCCATAGGGCCTCTTATATAACAAGGACATCTAAGAGGACTCCCTTGGTGAAAACAAACACAGCCATTGGATGAAATGATCAAGAGGCCATCTGCCTCTCAACTAGTTTTATATTAATGCTTTTTACAACCACATGAAAAAAGAAAAAATCATTTTTAAAACACCCTATGCCCTGAAACACATTGCATGAGCCAAGGTATTTAATTAGTCTTTTTTTTTTTTTATAATGTGATGTCACATTTACTCATTTTGTTTACCCACCACCAATTACTAGCAAACATGCTAACACATTCATACAGATGGAAATGCACTTTTTCTGGTTCAGGGTCCACAGTGTGCTGGTCTCTGTGGATATGTTATTGCTTTGCCTGCTATATTCCACAATATGGTATTAAACATATTTAACTCAAGTGCATTCAGTACATTGTATACATTCACCAGAAAACTTATATAGTAGTAGTTTAAGGCAGGCAAAGTGTCTTGCCCTATGATACAATTGCAGTATAGACAAGATAGAGTTGCACTGGAACTGTCAGCTACATGTTTTTTACAAGATGACAGCTCTATCTGAAATGATTTGTAAAAAATAATCTAAATATCCAATGTCGATTTTTCTAACACTATGATTAGAGTTGTTTTTAATGTTTTAATAATAGGATAGTGTTAAAGAATTTACAAAGACTGAAATATGAACTGATACAAGAATTACATTTCAGAACATGTTTGTACAGAACTAAACTACAGGGTTAGCAGTTTTTTTTTAATGTAGAATAATACAGGACTTTTTTTTTTTTGTGCAAAAATTGATGGTCAAAAAAAAAAAAAGCTTACTTTTACGAATTGTATCCATTTTGATTTTTTTTTATTTGACTGAAATTGATATCGCAGCTTTCTTGACAACTCTACTAATGATCATCTGTAACTTTTACACCATTTTGCCCATTCCATTCTGTACAACCCGCCTTTTCCTTACACATCTTTTACTGAGCTGCTAACGTCCATTACTTTGATATAGATGTTAATTGGCTGCACTCTGTCACAGATATAAATGTTAAATCCAACAGTTGGCGACAAAGAGAATGATTTGTATCCCAGGAGGTTTATCAAAAATCGATTACTTCACTTGACCATGACATTCTCCACAAACCAATTTAGACAAGACATTTCCATTAGCCTGCCAACTTGTGATCGATCCACTATCAAGCAACTGGGCAACATGTGGCCTGTCATTTTTAAGTCAAGGGCACCAATTCAAAGTGACAGCCGCCGTGGTGCTAGAAAATGACCTTTTCAACAGGCATTAAGAAGCGTGACCCCTGACAAATGCTGAGCAGGTAGACCACAGCATTGCCAATAAGCACTGAAGAGGTTCCTGCAGTGTCAAAGTCTTTAAAGGGTCAATATTACACTATTTTCTGATTTGTGTTATAATGTTGTTTCTTCATCACAAACATACCTGGAGTTGTGCTTTGTTTCGTTCCCACACAATTAATTAGGCTGAATTTTTCTCTCTTCATCTTGTGACGTCATGTGGTAATACAGGAAGTGCTCCACTGTGTAACCGTCATACAACTAACATCAAGGTAAAAGGTAGCTGTTAACTTGAAAACTACCACTTCATGACATCACAAGGTGGAACAGAGCATATTGAGTTTGGGAGATGTAGATAGACTATTAATAAAGGGTTACTCAATACGTGTGAATGAAACAAAACACAACTCCAGGTATGTTTTTAGGAGGTAACAACACTTGTAACATGACTTAAAGCTCTTAATTGTCAATTTTGTGTAATATAGGACCTTTAAGACATTTAAATACACAGAACATTCTACAGTAGAGGTTGCACATCTCTAGCATGATTTCCATGGAAATAGAAAGTTAGTCATACTGTGGAAGATTGCAGGCCATGGAAACAAGATTTCCTCCAGGCCAAACACGAATTTGGTTTGTGAATCGAATTGAAAATTTAAAGTTTGAAAAATTTTTGATAAAAAAGTTTGATACTGTGGTTTTAGAGAAAGGCAAAGAAAAACAAGATGGGTAAATACATTCAAGACTCTTTGGCAATTCATTGGTTAATTTTTAAAGACACTGAAAGACCCATGACACAGAGCTATATAAAATACATTTATTAAAAGGAATTCAAATAATTTTAAGACCCTTTTTTTTTTTTTTTTTTTTAGCTTTTTTCACTTTTCATATTCTCCAAGTATGTGTATATAAAACTAAACAAATTACAAAATGGTTAATTGCAGCTGATGGGATTGTGTGGTCAATTTGTATTTTCAGTAGTTGTTTTTTGTTTTGTTTTTTTAAGTGTGTTTTAATGATTAAGGTTGACATTTAATTTCATATATGAATTTTTATATTAATGTTACATAAGTAGGCTTTATGAAACACTCAATTTGCATTTGTGCCTTTTAGTTCAGTCAGCTGTGAGGACCTCTCTACTTGATATTCAATAGTGGTGATTAAAAAACATAAATGAGTATTTAGATTTTTTCCTGTACAGTACATATTAATTAGTGATTATGCTACAAAGGGCAATGGGCTTCAAAAGGGTTCAGAGAGGTTCTTTACACTCCTCATTGTTATCCACTAATTGCATGTGCGCTGTTTCATATTCCATTTAAAATAATTCAATTTGCTTTTTCGAAATTTAGTTCCAGTTAATTACGCTGTTGTTGGAAATGAACATTGACCATAAGTAATTATAAAACTGTCAACCACTGTCATTTACATGGATTATTTTCTACTGCTATATTTTTTTTTATGAGAATAGACATTTATTTATATACAATTATGACAAATTTTTATTGTTGTCATTTGGTTAATAGGTGCAATAAAAGAGCCATTCTACCCTAATTGAACTGTGCTGAGGATAATGACATTCAGAATTCAACAGAGAATCTAAGAAAAACAAATAAATAAAAAAAATATGAATCTATTTTTCCTCCACAAGTTAATGACATACTACTTTGTTGACTGGAATGTAGGACACACTAGCATAAACACTGCTGTACCAGATCAATGGGTAGTAGCTCCACAGAGTATATGTTAAGTAGCCTCAGGCAAAATAAACATCATTTTTTTTCTTGTTGCGTAACAATTCGCCACATAGCCTGGCAGCCTCTAATGTCTGAAAAAAAAGCACACAATCAATATATTAATGTGAAATTGTACTCTGGCCTTGTGTTTTGAAAGCGACTATGGATTTAACAAGGAAAGACTCCAGATGACAGTTGCATCGTACCGTAAACATGAAAACCCCACAAGAAATGTTCTGACCTGAATCAGCCACAGCCATAGCATCAGCAGGGCCATTATTTTTAATTTAACATGTGCAATGGCATCTTGTCGCCTCAAAGTTACATGCAAATCCCACGCTGAGAGCTGAGAGAAACATATGTATAATATATATGTACTGAAAGTTTGCATGTAGCTTCCTCTTTGCAGCGCCATACGCTTTAACTGTAAGTAGGCTGTTTTATCAGTGAGGCCCAGAAGGCAATTGGAACCATTATGTTAAATCATTCATTTCAGCGGAAGCATCTTGTAATCTTCTAATCTAAACTATGGAGAGTATGACTCACACATTACATTAACAGGCTCACACACGTGCAAATGCATAGGGGAATTAACATGAAATGGCTTTTATTATTTCATCTGTGCTGATATTAATATTTCAGTGTTTTCAAAAATGTTGAACACCTGGACTTTGCTGTTTAACATGGAGGTATGCTCGGAGATTTTCATGTCCTAGATTTTGCCCCACCCACTCATCTTATTGGCCTCCACTTTGCTTTCATTGACTGACAGGCGTATTAACCAATCAAGGTGAAGTGTGGAGGGTCAGAAGAAGCGGATACTTTAGTTATGTCTTAAGGTGACATACATGCCACTACAGACTACAGAATACTGTTGTTTTAGGCTACGATTTACTTCTTCTGATTTTGGGGAGGCATTAGTCTTTTTTTCTCTGCAAATAATGAGGACCAGTCCTCATGTCAACACTATTCCTGCAGTCTAAAGCAGTTTTCAAAAAGATTAAAAAAAATAAATAAATATGTGATGCGATACTTGGATACTTGTGTGCCATGTTTATATAAATCCAAGATGTGAGGATTAGTGAAGCTGTTGCATATTAGAGAGTGAACATAACACTCTGTGCAGCCTAATGCCTGTTTTCTGTAACATGGAACTGCACTATTGGACCACATTTCATAAATGATAGCTATAGATTTTCACTTGCTTCTAAACTAGTACAATGCTCTGAACGTTTTGAGCTTTGTGGTTCTCAAAGCGCCAGGAAACAGCTGAATGTGCTAACTTTGTTATCTCACAAATTTGATCTTATAGTGCTCCCTTTTTTCTCTGTAATCTTTGTGCTCAGAGATTTTAAATCTTGTAAATTTTCCTATTAGGACTGAATGACATGAGAAAAAGATCTCATTTAGTTTTTTTTTGACAAAGCATTGCGATTGTGTTTTTCAGACACGTCCTGAAGAATTGACAAAAGAGACACATTTCAGAACATGTTTTGACAAATCTTAACTAAGGGTTAGCAGTTTTTATGCAGAAAACGATTTTGTGGAGTAAATTATAGTGCTGCAGTTTGCTAATTGGGCCCATTCAAAGTGTAATTTCAGTTATATTGTGATTAGTCTTGCAGCCCTACTTCTTCAGTCTGTGGTCTGTGCTTCACACAGTGTAACACATTTTCTAAAAACTTTTTTATTGTGTGGCTATGGCAGACTTAAGCACATGAATCATGATAAAAAATACAAATTGTGCCTAAAATGTGACTAATCTGTTTTTCCTATGCTCCTTTTAGATACACCAAGATGAAGACAGCAACTAACATCTACATCTTCAACCTGGCTTTAGCGGATGCCCTGGCCACAAGTACACTGCCTTTCCAAAGTGCCAATTACCTGATGAGTACCTGGGCATTTGGAGAAATCCTGTGCAAGGTCATCATCGCCATCGACTACTATAACATGTTCACCAGTATCTTCACCCTCACCATGATGAGTGTGGACCGCTACATCGCCGTGTGCCATCCAGTCAGGGCTCTGGAGTTCAGAACACCGGTGAAGGCCAAAATGATCAACGTTCTCATATGGGTGTTGTCTTCAGCCATTGGAGTGCCCATAATGGTGATGGCGGTGACCGAAGTGAATAGCAGTGGTGGGTGTTTTTTGTGTCTTTTGTGGAATTAGTATATTTCCCTGGATGGCTTCTCTATTCAACTTAAATCTTGCATAGTGGGGTTTTACTAGTCTTGCCTATGCCACCTCTGTAATATTTCTGAGAAGGTTCCTTAGGGCACTGTTGAAATGTCAATGAGGTGTTAATGTAATCTGGAGTATAAACAGATTACAAAAAGTGCCATGTATTGAGAGGAGTTTTTTTTTTTTTTTCATGACTTGAGATTAAATTGTAATTACTTCGATATAACCTTTTCTTCGGTTGTCCAATTACTCGTTACATGTTCCCTGCAAAAATGAAAATACAACTCATTAGATTAGGTCATTTAGGTTATGTAGAACAAGGTCCAGTACATAACTTTTTTCGATAAAAAGTAGACAGAAAATTAGTAAAATAAAGGTATTTTGGTAGCTTTTATTGCACTGAAAACTTGACTTCCCACTTGTTTCCGTGGAAGAAAACATTAGCTAGGCTGGCCCCACCTAGTGCCTCTTCTTGATTTAATTTCTCTCCTGCGACTAGGTCAGGAATCGGAATACACTAGAGTAGACGGTTTGCAAAAACGCTGGAAGTGCGAGTTCGGGCACTGGTCAATCAACAAAGAGCCATACATTCTGTTTTGTCAACGATTCCTGAGATCAAGGATTTAAAGCCGGAACAAAGAGAATGTCCGGTGAATTTTATCAAAGGGAATGACGTTATTGCCCTTCTTCCTACAGGATTTGGAAAAGCTTAATATACCAGTTAACCACATTTGTGGCGCATTACATACGTCACGACCAAATAGCAGAGATTGGTTAAATAATAAAAGTACCCGCCTACCGTCGATCGAACGAATCCTAACGCTGCGAGGTCATACAGTTTCTATGAAGTGAGACCGGCTGATGAATCAGGCAAACAAAACATATCAATCTCCATGGAAAACATTCGGAAGTATGGATTTAACTTTCTTTTTCCATAGAATCATGCAGTTGACGTACCACCTCCACAAAGTTGCATAGTGTTGCTTTAAATCTGAAATGAATGCAAGGTATATCACGTTTGACAAGACTATGCAGAATTTAACATCTTCCTTGCAGATTAAGAATCCACTCCACAATCTTGTAATACACTAACTCAATATGACACTGGCGCAATACAAATGGTCAGCACATTTTCTCTGTACTAATGCTAGATCACACAAATGCGAGATCTGGGAGCCTCTTTGATCTGTTCAATGCTTCACTCTCACCGCTTACACAGCAGCTTACAAGGATCGCTGTGGAGTGGCTTTAATCATTACTTTGACCCTGACAGACCCTCCGCTATCATGAGTCTACAAATACTTCTTTTAAACACAATCAAAGCACAGTAAGGGAACACAATGCAGGGCCTGGTTTGCTTCTACTTCTATTAAAATAAGGTCGGCCTCATTGTTGTTAGATTGTTCTCGCAATTTTAAAAGCACTTTGAATGTAAAATGTGTTGTTACTGTCACATAAAGGCTTCAGGTTCGAGTGGGGACAGCACAGGAGCAGCAGCAGGATAATTTGCACCAGTGATTTTCAGTGATTCACAATAGTTCCCACTTCATTTGTTTTCCAAATGAAATAGTTTGGGTCAAAAGTTCCAGGCGTGTACCTAATTCCAAACCATGATTGAATCACATGTTCCAGAATGAACTGAATGAGCCCACCCGTTTGATTTTTTCTCTCATCATGGTGTTGTAGCTGACTTTTCCTGTCTTGAAAACCTGAAAAATATAAGTAAACTTTTGAAGACACTGCTCCTCATTTTTAAACACGTGTCAAACTAAATTACTTCATTTTAAATGGTTTGCAGCGATCCAAAATTATTCCTCACTTACATTACATGTTCCAAACATCTGAATTATTGTCTGCAATGAGTTTATACTGTAAATGCTTTTTACAGCTCTCAGAGAGTAAACTAACAACAACTAGCATGCTAGCGTGCACTTCTTGATTATTGTACATTAAAAAGCTCATAATTAGATGCAAACAGTACACAGCAAACTTATTTTGACCTTGAGGACTGCTTATACAATATATCTGTACTGGGGGAAGCCAAAATGGTAAATGGGATTTGGAATGTGTATAGTTCATAGTTCATGGTTCTCATCAAAAAATGTGTTTTAAATGTACAAGCAATATATTCCATATAAATGCTTTACTATTCACTGTACTGTAGCAATTCCCTGAACTATAAGAAATGAATGCCAGACACAGGTCTTTAAAGGGACAGTTTGGAATTTTGGACATAGGACCTCATTTCCTAGTGAGCCAGAGTGTTGGAGACACTTTTTTAAAAATTCCATCCAGTCCTTGTGTTTTCATGTCAATGACCATAGTTAGTCTGCCACTAAAAACAGTCTAACCCACTCCACAAAGCACCCAAAGTAAATTACGCCAGACTGTCGATGTAAATGTGTTGATAGAATAATGTTTGAAATAAAACTAACCTTGCATCACATGAATTGTTGCATGTTCAGGGACTATTTTCTCATATATCAGTTTGTCGCTGCTAATCGTTCTATCAGAAGTACAACTCGCTGTTGCTGCTCACACATAAATCCTTCAAATGCAAGGTTGGCTTTACTTCTAAAATTATTCTATCGACACAGACATTCAGTCTGGCGTTATAATTGTTTTGCCTTGGGTGTTTTGTGGAGTGGGTAAGACTTTTTTAGTGGCAGGCTAACTATGCCCATTGACCTGCACTAGCCTAGCCCCAGCGACCTCTGCAAATACAAGGACTGGATGGAATATTTTAAAAAGTGTCTCCACACGTCTCCAACACTCTAGCTCACTGGGAAATGAAAATTCCCAACTGTCCCTTTAAAGCTACCATCTGCACCTGTAGATGACAGATGTGAAGCCTATTCTCCCCTACTCCTTCCCCTGGTGTTTGTTCAGACTTACCTCTGCTCTTAGATCTTCTTCTGTCAGGCCAAAGCTGGGATATTATCAGACTGTAGCAACATAGATATCATCTAGTGGTGATATGTGAGAAAGCAACTGGGGCAGTTCGGTCAGTCTAATTACAGATGATAGCTTTAAACATGTATGAAAATATTTTATTCCAAAAGTGTGCAAACAGAGTAACAGTATATGTCATTATTATTCTATGTACAACAGACTATGTCACAGTTCCATCCTCTTCAATTAATTAAAACTGGCATATTTCAACACATGAGCAATTGTGATGTTAGTGAAGAACAAAATCATCTATCAGCAATGTAAATTCCTCGGTCTTTTGTGGTTGAATGGAGCAGTGGGTAATCTATCTTCAGCTCGTTTCTGAAGTGACTGATCCATTAAAGTGCGACTGACGAATGCTGGTCGTGCACTGACGTCTTGCTAATGGCTGCTGCTGGGACTTTGCTGAACAAGCGTGTGTCCTCCTCCCTCTGGAGACTCACAAATCCGACTCACCGTGAAGCCTGTTCTAATCTGCTCTTCCATATTACGATCTCCAAATTCAGTGCCAGACTATAAAACATGGATTATAAAAAAGTCACGAAAATCGACTGGAATTGCAATAGACCACTAAGGCCACAAACAATCCCAGTAGTACCTAGTGTTGTCACAAAACAAAAATTTCAAACACGATTTCTATACTATGGAATGGACATTATACTGTGATTCTGATACCACAGATAATAAAAACAAAGAATATAATGTTTTAAACTGTAGTACTTTCTTTTATATTGCCATGTTACCTTATATCTGTGTCATCCCTCAGTCGTCCAGGTTCTGATACAGCTCAAAATCATTCTAAAACTACTGAGGAAAGGTTCATTTCTGTCCTGTGAATGTGTTCTTTAGTACTGCTACTAGCTCAAATGAGTATCTAGTTTCAGTATTAGTTTTAGTATCAATTAATGTCTGATTTTCAACGCTTTTGGCAACCCTATTACTATCAACATTAGAGAAATACTGGTTTGTCATTTTTCAGTGCTTTCCCTGATAATTTGTGTGAGAGAGATATGATTAGACTACTGAAACGATTTTTCCTGTGAGATTTCCCATAAATCAACAGGATTGCCTTGCTGACGCACATGGATGCAGTGGACAGTCAAACGGCTAAACAGGTACTGCATCTGCTGTTCACTTCTCGAGATGGAGCATCATGAGAATCTACAAACTCAGCTAGAATATGTCTAGATTAATTTTGCTAAAAGAAATGTTCAACTGTCATTTTGAGTTAAATTTATCAGTATTAGAAAAAACTGCATACCAACCAGGAAATAGGCAAGGTGAGTTTTTATTAGTGGCATTTGTGAACAAGTGGGATCTTCTGAACAGTTCCTTGATGTGAATCTCATTTATTTAAAGACCTGAATCTTTTTCTTTCAAATTTTTATGCATTTTTATACTGATTAACACTTAACCAACACAATAAATATCACAAAAGGAGAGTAGACAATGCAAGTGGGAGCTTTGTCCAGACAGTAAACATATTTGACATCATAATAAATAGGTTTTGAATTATTATTATTATTATTGTTATTATTGTAGTGCAATGTTTTATTTAGATTTGCATCAGACACAGTCCCACTCTCAGTTTGAACCATTTTAATCTTGGCCTTGGTTATTTTTTTCTGTGATTAGTTTGTTATTAAAATGACTTCGACGTCTGTCACATAAATAAATAATAAAAGAGCCAGTCTTTGGAACAGCTCTTTGAAATTAACAGATGCAAAAGATTTGGATCCCATAAAAGAGCCAAAAGTCCCATCACTAGTTAAAATGTACGCTGTCTCCGGCTAGAGCTTTTTTTCATTCACGTTTGTTTGACTAATCCTGTGTTTTTTGGCATCCAACAAGATTTCTATATCCAGAACTCCCCCTCATTTTACCCCAAACATGCACACAGCACTGTAACCACTGATCCTGCTCAGCTGTATTGTATTTTTAAACACAAAAGGTTGGAGAATCTTTAATGTTGGAATTCAAAGGTGCTGTCTCTTAATTCTACTGTCTCAAAAACGTGAACAGTTTGCAGGGGTCCTCACTCACCTTATATATTCTGAAAGTCATAATTATTCACCAGAACTTTTCACACTTTCAGAAACCAGAGGACTTTCGTGCACTTCCTGATTATCAGACTATAAAACACTCAAATAAATTACCTAGTAGCATAACGTATGGTGACACTCTGCAATTTGTCATGTATCTCTTGCCATTTTTACTTTTGTTTCCTCCTCTTTGTTACAGTACAAATGTATTTCTGGATACAAATAGTATGTCTAATGTGTTGTTTTGATCCAAAATGAGTAATAGAAGATAACGTCTCAGCTCATTTAATCTTTATAAGAACAAAACTGGTTCATAAAAATGTTAGATTGACCGATATGAGTTTTAATGATGCCAGTACTGCCTAATACTTGATTTGAAATTACCACAAACTACAAACTATAGCTACAAACTATAGCAACAGTCTAATAAGTAAAAACTTTAGCTATTGGAATCCTTTTTGGACACCCACAGCCCTGTTTTGCTACAAACCTGTAAGAGAGCAGTGCAAATCTTGTGCCCTTTTTGCATAATTAATATATGCATTAAAAAGTTATCATCCCATCAGTCTATCTCATAAAATGTCCTAAAAACGTGACATTTTTAAGTGAAAATACACTTTTCTACTTCTGCTTTCCAGGTTGAACCAGGTAAGCTAAGACGACAAATCTATTTTGTTCCTTTGGCATTTTGACCTTTGTTTCGCTCTCTTTGTAACAGTAAAAATATATTTCTGGCAACAGATAATGCTGAATCTAGCGTGTTGTTTTGGTTCAGCTACTGCAATGAAAGAGATGCAGAGAGAAAGAGACACCACACATCTCATTTAATTATCATGGAGACAAAAATGGTTCACAAAAATGTTCTAAAAACACTTTCATTGCTTTGTTTTCCAGGTCGAACATTGTGCATGCTGAAGTTCCCTGATCCACACTGGTACTGGGACACTGTCACCAAGATCTGCGTTTTCATCTTTGCTTTCGTGGTCCCAGTCATGGTCATCACGATCTGCTATGGCCTGATGATCCTGCGCCTGCGAAGTGTCCGTCTGCTCTCCGGCTCTAAGGAGAAGGACCGCAACATGAGGCGCATCACCCGCATGGTCCTGGTGGTGGTTGCTGCCTTCATCATCTGCTGGACCCCCATCCACATCTTCATCATCGTCAAAACCATGGTGAAGATTGAGAAAACGAACCCCTTCGTGATCGCTAGCTGGCACCTCTGCATCGCCCTGGGGTACACCAACAGCAGCCTCAACCCGGTTCTCTATGCCTTCCTGGATGAGAACTTCAAACGCTGCTTCCGGGATTTCTGCCTTCCGTGCCGAACTCGCGGGGATGAGAATAGTCTGAACAGGACAAGGAATACCACCAGGGAGCCAGTGTCCGTGTGCGGTCCAACAGAAGCGGGGAGAAAGCCGGCATGACTAGGCCTGGATAAGGTCCCCCGTGGTTCAAGGTCTCGGAGGATCCAGCAAGATTTACAATCGGAAATCACACAAATTTCCACCACAGAGTTTTAGCCATTAAGAGGACTGCGTACTTTTTGCCAAATAGGAGAAGTTAGAACCTTTCGAAATTTCAAAACAAGAACTGAACTTTAACAAAACTAAAAAAAAAAAAACGGATGGATGATGTTGTGAAACTTTCAAGGAGCTGAAGTTTTGATGTAAGATAATTACTTTTCATTTCCACAGCATATGCTCAAAAGACATTTGCAAATATTAGAATCAGGGAGGAAGCTGACATGACTAGGACTTGGGATCTTGGAAACTGATCTTAACTACACAGTATTTTCTGAAAACGCTCTTACTATTAAGGTGAAAATGAAATATCTGAACTGTCACCCAAAAAATTTAAAAGAGAGAGACAGATATTTTATTGATCCTGAGGGAAAGATTATGATAAAGGTCCAGAAGACTGCGAAGAGGAAAATCCACCATGTTGCAGTTAGAGGCCCCTAAGAGTTGAGAAATGCAGTAAAGGTAAAACACTGATTTCATATTCACCACGTCTTCAAAAAGACATCGCATTGCAGTATCTCATATAATCCATGTGCTTTGTATGGAAAAAATATGCCTTACACAGCTAAACCTCACAACCGTCTCACCGACAGCCAATGATAAAGGACTTACTGTTGTCTCACCCACGCTCAAGTTGAAAGAAAGATAGTGACGTTCTCCAATTGTGAGCTCAAGGATGGATTCTGCAAATAACTGAAAGAAACCCTCAGAAAACCTTTAGAGTGAAAAAAAGCATCAAGCGTCACACGGAGAGCATTGCATATTGGATTTCATTGTTTTCTTGTCACATAGGTTTCTCACACATGTTGGCACCTTGTAAGACAAATTGCCAAACCTTCTGAACTTAACAACGTAATAAATCTTTGTCTAGATACAAAACATACAAACACTCCAAGGACAGTATTGATCTGCGTTTCAAAGGAGAATGAAAAAAACCTGCAGGACTTTCATGTTAAGTCATTGATTAACTGTAACAGATGTTGACGAAAATCCAATGGAGGACATCGATTCCTGGACTGAAATAGTGACCATTCGAACTTTGCATACCGGATCTGACGAATCTCAGAAAGCACGCAAGGTGATGACGACCAAATACGTGTTGATGTCACTTCAAAAATGAAAGTTTTGATCTTGTTGAATTGAATTGAGTCGGAAAGCGAGAAAAAAAACCTTGAAACTTTGAAGGTATGATGGATTGTTTACATGAATGTATATTGTACAGTTAAAGAATATACAGCTTTTGCAAATATAAAGAAGATTTGCATTTTTATAGATGCAAAGATTTCATGGCGTGCCTGTGTATTAAGACTTTTCCAATGTCGTACTTTGACAACCAAGAACATTTGGACACTTAAAATGGATTTGTGTCTTGATTATTTTCTGGAAAATATACATTGATGAATATACAATGTGTGTATCCTAAAGTCACAGAAAATGTTCGCCTTTCTTTTCGACGGCAGCAGTTGTTATTTAAAACGTACTGTATCGTGTATTCTCTATGGCTAGCTACAGGTAGCTACATGCTTTATATGTAAATTTGGCTTTCGCTTTTGTAGTCATTCAGGATCCACAGGAAAAAGCAACACAATGCACACTTTATAGCTCGAATGAGAAATCACATGACAAATAATGTATAACTTTGACATAAGTTTTACACATATGCTGGCAGCATTGGGGTGAAACACAAATAAGCACACTTACATGAAGCACCCCACCGGAAAACATCTCAGTTCTCCTAAATCGATCCTGTGTTTTTATTTTAAGTTCTTATTGGACATTTTAGCTGTAGCATTATATGTTTTACAAATCAAACCCATGTACATGTATAGAGGACAATTAGGAATTTCTTGATTACTCGATGTCACAAGGTGTAATTGAATATTTTTTACTCTAAAGTTGCATAGTGTTGCTTTACCATTGTAGTGATGTGCCATAGTTCATACCACTATAGTATATTGACAGTTTGATTACTCTGATTTACCGGTGTAGGTCTATTTCATTATTAATATTTTTACAAACAAGCATGTGTAATAGAAAATATATATGGATTTGGCTGTAAGGATATACATTGCATTAAAAGGTATACATTTAAAGGCACAATGTGTAACTTTTCTGTTTGAGGGCATGCCGTCTGCTCGTCTCCATGGAGATATTATTACTTTACTAGAATGTTCCATCATATAGCAAAATGATGGCACTCTCATGGCTCATGCAGGTTGAGAGGTGACCCAGTTCACTGTAAAAATCCATGTTTTTCAAGGTAATTTTGAGCAGTATTTAATTAAATACTAGATAATTATGTTTAATACAATACTGTGGAACATTTAAAGCAAAGCAATAACATCTTTATGGAGACAACCAGGTGGCGTATCCACTATCAGAAATGTGACTCAGTGCACCTTTAATGTACAGTATATAATACATACTTTTCTAAAAATTTGTGGAATAAAGCAAAACTGTATTTTGGCTGGTTTCTTTACTGTTTCATGCATACATTTCTACTGTGAACAGAACTAACAAAACAACAATACAGAGTTATAGAAACATTTCAGTGAGTATGAAACATTGCAGTATGAGTGAATTTTGCATTTTAAATAATTTGCAAAACTTTATTATAACTACACCTTAATCAGCCTTAGTAAAGCAGGCATAAAGACTTAAAGAATTAAACCATTAAGAATGATGATTTAAAGGGACATTTCCGAGTTTTGGACATAGGACTTCATTTCCTAGTGAGCCAGAGTGTTGGAGATGTGTGGAGACACTTTTTAAAATATTCCACCCAGTCTTTGTATTTCGCTGGTGCTGGGCTAGTGCATGTCAATGGCCATAGTTAGCCTGCCACTAAAAACAGTCTTACCAACTCCACAAAACACCCGAAGCAAATCTGTTATTACGCCAGACTTTCTATGTAAATGTCTGTGTTGATAGAATAATTTTAGAAGTAAAACCAACCTTGCATTTGAAGGATTTATGTCGTAATAATAAATTGAAGTGGGTAAGACTGTTTTTAGTGGCAGGATAACTATGGCCATTGACGTGCGCTAACCTAGCACCAGTGACCTCTGCAAATACAAGGACTGGATGGAATATTTAAAAGAAAGTGTCTCCAACACTCTGGCTAACTAGGAAATGAGGTCCTATGTCCAAAATTTCAGACTATCCCTTTAATGACTACTTAACACTTACCCCCTAAATTAAAGGCACTGATTTTTACTGTCTTAAAAACATACAAAAACAGAAGTAGTTTGTTTTAAATGGTTTGCAGTGGCACAAAGATATTCTTCACTTACATGCATTCAGAGCATCCTAATTTACAACCACTTTTCACAACTCTCAAAGATCACTGCAGTGTATTGCCATAACAACAAATGGCATGCTAATGGCACTTACTGAGTTTAAAATGCTTTATAATTGATTGCAGACAGCACACAGCAAACTTATTCTGAGCTCCAAAGTTACGTATTCAGTATGTACAGTACATACTGGGGCAAAAAAATTGTGTATAATGAAGTAGCACCAAATATTATATGCTTGTTCCAATAATAAAAAAATAGTAATAATAATAATAATAATAATAATAATAATAATAATAATAATAATCAAGGCAACTATTTATCCATGTTCTTCAGTCTTTTTTAAATGTATTTATTTCATGATTAAGATACAGATTTTACATAGATTCATTTATCAAAATATTAACAGTAACAGTGAGTAATGAGTACTGATGTGACGATTTCACAGTACCGCGGCCTGCAATTAATTCAGACTATTTAACATATTCCAAACGACAGAAGCAATTTTCCATCAGCAATGCAATTCCTTCAGTAAATCCTGTTGTGGTTGAATGGAGCAGTGGGTAATCTATCTCCAGCTCGTTTCTGAAGTGACTGATCCATTGAAGTGTGACTGACAAATGCTGGTTGTGCACTGACATCCTGCTAATGGCTGCTGCAGGGACTTTGCCGAACAAACCTGTGTCCCCCTTCCCCCAGAGACTCACAAATCCAACTCACTGTGAAGCCCTCAGTGATCTGCACTCATCTTATCCAGAACAAATCGTCATGTCCGACCTGCCTCCCCGATCATCAGACAAAATACATCGACTCTGGCAGCACGCTTCACAGCTCTTCCACGACGGAGCCTAAATGTCACATTGCATCATGTACAAGAACAGGTGGTTTTCTATCAGAACTACAGAGGCACAGAAGGAAAGAGTTTAAACTAACATAAGAAATAAGGATGTAAAATAGTGGTAGGTCTTTAAATATAGTCTTCAAGATATTTAAAAGTGCAAATAACAAGTTAGCACTAAAATAAAGTTAACATAATTTAACTTAAAAGGGGGATATTATGCAAAATGTACTTTTTGGAGCTTTCTACCATGTGATAGTGTTGTTCCCTAATCAGAAACATGCCTGATGTGGTTTTATATGTCATCTATGCATGTTTGAGTAATCTTGTGATCTGTCCTGGGCACTATTCAAATCCTGTTCATTCATACTGTACATTCAACCCCAATCTCAAACCAAATGCAATGAGCAGTGATTTCATTAGTAAAATGCATGTTGACTGTCTTGTGATAGAGCTCAGAAATGATAGTGTCAGGGAGCAAAAGGAGAGATTCAGAGCACCAAAAACTAAATTGAAACTCATTTAACATTTTAATAAATAGTTACAATAAAAGGTAACAACTTGGTGATCTAAATATTTTACAGTGCATTATTGATTTACTTCATAATCAAAATCAAGATAACTTGTTCAAAGAACTGAGAGGGACTTAGTTTTAACATAATAATGAGCCCTTAAATCAGCAGTGACAAAAGGTGTGATTGGAGAAAAATGAATGTTGTTGTAGCATGTGAGTCTGAATTTCAAATCTGTTTTATCCATTACTTTTTTAG